TAACTGTATACATGTCTTTTCTTATCTGTTTCTTGTTTCTTACTGTTATTATTTTTGTGTTGTACGGTGTCCTCGAGTGCCCAGAGAGGCGCCTTTAAGACATGGCAAAACCTAATGACTTTTCCAAACTCAACGAGTCCCACGCCCTGGGGTTTTGTTTACACCTGTCCAACCTCTGGCTCCGGGCGTGGTGGGGTTCGCCGATAATTCACCGCGAGAAGTGGAAAGCCTACCAGTATCTGCTCCTAAAACTTCAACTCTTTTTGAATCAACTGTGTGTCAACTTTCTGTCCAGTTCCCACCATGTTGCAACTGTTTTACCAGCCCCGCCTAAAGGCAAACAATACACTTCATTAATGGACTTTGCTGCTCTAACTTACCGCACCCTCGCCCCACATTTCCCCAAATGTAAGTACTGCTGGGGGACTTCAACATACATATGGACAATATCAATCTCCCCCTCTTTACCCCCGTGACTGTTGCATCCTGTTCTTGACAGGGCTTTGGCCTTCCAAGCAGCATATTGACGTTTCCGACTGCCATTTCCAAAGGGTCAACCATTCTGGATTTATAGTCTGTTGTTCTGGTCTCAATCCCTGCTAACTGTATTCGGCAGATGATACATCCTATAACTGATGCATTGTGCTTCTGGTCGTTCATGTCAAACTCATTCTGTCGCTCCAACAAAGCCCAAACCTGTGTCATCACAACTTCTGTCTCGGTCAAGCAAAGAAAGTCTACGTTCTGAGCTTCAATGTGCAAGAAAAGCCTACTATATGTGTGTGTTTAGTAGTGTGATGGCATACAGCGTGTGTGTGAGTGTGTGTGTGTGTGAGTGTTTGTGTGTGTGTGTGAGTGTTTGTGTGTGGTGGTGTGTGAGTGTTTGTGTGTGTGTGTGTCATTTAGTGGGCAAAGCTATATTGGTCTTGGAATTCGGACATGGACTGGCAGGTGCAGACACTTTACTGATGACCCAACCCGTTTAACACACACACACACACACACACACACACGCACAAGATCTGCATGGCATTATGGGTAGGAGCGTGCTAAGCTGTTCTAAGTCCTCTGTATGACCGGCAACATCAGAGGCACAACGATGTGGAGCGCTGTACAGAATCTGTGTGCACCTTTGGGAACTAAAGTGGGTGCTGGATCAACGTGCAAACACTGTACACTGTATGAGAGACGTGGTTCACAGTCACAGTTCACACAGGTGAGTGTGAGAGGGACCCTGAGCGAGCATCACCAACTGTACTAACTGACCCTAATTAAACAAGATAGAACTCCCTGTTTACATGCTGGGCCATCCTAGCTTCATTTCAAACAATTTAGTAAAACAGTGTTCAACAGTGTTACAGTGACATTTTACCATACATCGGCGACAACCAGTCAGCGTTTAAGAGTAAGGCCCTGAGAGGAAAAACATCTAAAAACAACAGTTTGTTGAAGTAATCCCGACCCACCATCACACACCTTCATCATTTATCTGACATCATGTCTACAGGAGGGGTAAAGCCCAAACCGACTGCAGCCCCCCCAACGTTAGCGATAATCCAGCTCCTCTATTGGTCTAACAATCAAATCAATCGACTAATCACAGCAGCTTCAAGTTGGCCAGAGAACCTCAACACGACCTTAAAGTCCAGACCGCTGCCAACAGTGTCTGAACAACTGCTGTTGTTTGTGGCAGTGAGGAAGGCGAGGGGTGGGGGGGTTCTGAAGGACACAGACGCCATGTCTGCACTTCACATTACAGATGAGCTCATAGCCCTGGACCTTGATATAGAGTGGACACATTACACTCAGCCGAACATACCTCACACCACTGAACACTCACTGGGTCTCAACGGGAACCAAAGTAAGTCCAAGTTAAAGACTGAACTGTGAGAAGCACCAGAGATAAAAAGGCTCAACAGACTGAATATCACTCAATACTCGCCATGTAGCACCTGTGGCAGGCGCCTCAGCTGTGTTTCTGCTCTGATATTACTACACGTTTTGTGGAACATTTTGGAATATTTTAACCAGTGTTTCTCATAGGTTGAGGATTAGTTGTGGTGAAATATCCAAAACTGCCGGGATGTCATTTTTCCATTCTATATGACTGCACATGAATGCACCATTCTGGCAGACTTGTTAATCTGTCACTTCAAACTCCTCACAGTGTTATTTTCCCCCTGCACATATAAAATACAAAAGGAAACATATGGGACCTTCAAATTAAAA